CAGCATATGGGGCACCGGATCCAAGAGGCCTGCACGAGAAGGCGGCCCTGCACGTGGGGAAAGCTGCCCCCGCCCTGCCCCTGCTCCCCGCCCTGCTCCTGTGCTGTGGGGTTACTGTTCCTCTCAGTGATGTTGGAGTCTGGGGTCTGTTCCCCGCTCTTGGCATCTGCACCTTCTTTCCTCCCTCCTCTTCCCAGGACAGGGCTGTGCTGGCCACACAGTCGATATGTTTTGACTGAACACATGAGCTTGCTCTATGTGCCTTTATCTCCTGGTTCTCCCCACCTTCCTGGGAGGACTTTCTTGGCAAATTTCTGTCCTTCTGGTGACATTGGAACAGCTGTACTTGTTCATTCGAAAGACTAATCTGCCCTTTTGTTTGGCTCTTGTACCAGAAGGAGGGCTGCTGACTTAGGTCAATTTCTCAAAACCTACAGACTGCTGATTCATTAAATCAACTGATATTGTTGAATCATTCTGGGTACCGGGCCCTGGGATGGGATGGGATGGTCAAGAGGAGGCAAAGTCCTTCCTCTTCTGGAATGTACACTTGTTTGACCATAGACCTGGTGACGTTCTGCGGGTTTCTGTTGACATAGTTTCCGTCTCTGCTTCTTTAACAATCAGATGAAATAACTGAGTTGGGAGACAGACTTTAAAAATCCATCATCTTCTCTCATCTTCTGCTGCCTCCCAAGCCCAGGCCCATCCCCGTACCTGGACTGCCCAGGAGCTTCCTGCCTCGTCTCCCTACTCTGCTGTTCTTCTAAAAGCCAAAGTCAAATCGGGTTCCCCCCGCCCCATCCACCATCATCAACCGCCACCCGCCTCCCCCACTCCCACCTGCAACCACCAGCGATTTCCCAGCTAACAAAGCCCTGCCTTACCTCTGCCACCTCCTCCGCCCTTAGTCTTGCCCAGCCTCACTGCTGGAGGGGACAGGCGCTCTGTGTGCCCCTCGCCTCACGCCCTGCGCCAGGACCCCTCCGCAGTCCCCACCTCTGCACAGCCGCCTCCCTGCCCCTCACATCTCGGCTCGAGCATCACTTTCTTGGGGGGAACTTTCTGAGCGCCCCTCTGAGTTTATCAGTGCCCATCTCTCTGGTACTGCATGCTATATAAAGACTCTTGTCATTCATTACCTGGCCCCTTTCCCTAGAGGGCCAGCACCCTAAGGTGGGCTGTGGCCTGTGCAGGGCTCTCTGCAGCCTTGGGGATGGGGGAACCCGGTGTCTGCTGAGCAAAGGGCAGGTGGTCTCTGGTAACCTGGCGCTGGGATTTGGAGCACATATTTGGTGCGAGAGCTGGAGGGAGACAGCAGTGCAGAAACAACCACTACTAAATATCTACTTTTGAGGACAGTTGGCTGAAAAATGTGTTGTGATTGTGTCTGCTTTAAGGTCAAAGGCTTTGGGGTAACTTTTAGTTTAAATAGAACTGTGGGGCCTCCCTGGTGGCACAGGGGTTAAGTCTTAGCACTATGAAGCTATCCACAGCCACTGCAGCAGGAGTTCAATCCCCAGCCAGGGAGCTGACCCACAGGGCGCAGCAGACCTCTCCTGTCTTGCCCCCTGCACCCCTCAGCAGTGTATTTCAGTAAATCCACCTGTTCCGCTCCCCACTCTGTCTCTGGCGAATCCTCTCTCCCCCATACCTCTGGCCTATACCCCAGCTCTTGTATGCATAAATAAATAAATCTTTTAAAAAAATAAATAAATGGAACTGTAAAAATGAAGGTAAGAGATAATTTTATTTAAAATGTTTATGTTAAAGTAAAATGCCACTGCAGAAGTCAGTAGAATGATGTCATTGAGAGTGAGAATTGGCTCAGAGTGGAGGACTCCCACTTGCCTATTGATTCAAGAAGGGCTTTTCCTTTTGTTTTAAAGTTTTGGGGAAGGTTCATTCCATTGGGATGAAAGTGTATTATGAACTCAGAATGCTCTCAGCCAAAGACCCACTACATGCCTAGGACAGGCTGGGCCACACAAAGACTTTAAGAGACTGAAAACCAGGGTCTCTGCCAGTGGGCTCCCCACAGTTCTCAGATAGGAAGACTTGGGGGTGGTGCCCCCAAACCAGAATAGATTTCTTTCAAAGCTATATTTGCATCTTCACAAGGATGCAGTTTATCCTTAGACCACATGTGTATTTATAGGGGCAACAACTAGTGTTGATGGAGGGAGTGCCTTGCTTTTAAAGGTGACCTCCAGGCTGACCTCAAGGCCAAGTAACTCAGGACTCCACACCTCACTGCCAGGGTAGCCGAGGCCCTTTTCAGCCCTGAATCTGAGATTGGGCAGGGCCAGCTGGGTAAAGTGCCTTTAGGGCCTGCCAGTGCCAGCCCCGTCTTGGGCCTCAGTGGCCTGAGTCTGCTGAACGAGGCCCCTTCTGGAGGCAGGCTAATTGTCAGTGTGGGGGCACCAGGATGGCACCAGGGTCACTGGGGCCAGGTCACTGCCCCGCCGTTACCAGCAGCATGACCTTGGGCAAGTGTGAACAGTGGAATTGCATGAAAAGTATGACTGAAGCACCTGGTGCAGGCATTTGGAGACGCCACCATTTTATCAACTCTGTGCTACACAGACCGTGTGGACCGTGCTGAAGGTTGGAACTGGCGCCGCAAGAGCGGTCCTAAGTGGCTGGTGGGGAAGCGCCAAGTCTTGGCGTTCTCCATCTCGTCGGCCCCAGCCCTGATGCAGCTGCCCAGGGCAGTTCCCAGCATGCTCCTCCCCAGGCCTTGCCCAGAGCCCGAGGATGTGGGTTCTGACCTTTAGACCAACCAGCAGGTCCATCCAGTCATTCTCGAGTGCCCGCTGTCACCTGGGTCCTGGAGGAGGGAAGGGCGGGCCACAGGCTGCTCCACACCTCCCTCTCCACTGGTACCCCTGCAGTTGCCAGCACACACACACCCTCTCCTCCCCTCCCCCTCTTCTCCCCCCCCCCCCCCCCCCCCCCCCGCCATCTCGTGCACCTCCTGGGGCTGAGCTGGTGCAGGTGAACGGCTCTTCCCAAGGCTGGAGCAGTCTCCGCCAGCTTGTTTCAAATTGAGGGGGGGGGGGCGCCTAGAACAATGATTTTAGATGTGTGCTCATACATGTTGTGTGTCACACACGCACATCCCTCCTGAGAATCAGGCAGGAATACCTGCCCCCTCCCACCCCAGCTACCAGTGAGCTCTTGCACTTGAGCTTGCGAGGGATGAGGTGCCTCTGAGGGAAGACGAGCTGTCCCGCCCTCAGAGCATCAGCAGAGTGCCCCTGAAATCAAGGGGACCACGGAGGAGACTGGCCTCGCTGTGGGCCTCGCTGTGCTTGAGGAAGAGGTCCCCAGCCCCACCTGTTGGGTCCTCACCGCTCTCCCTGAGAGGGCACAGTCGGGCACCTTCCCCAGCCCCGTGGGCGCTGGAGAAGGCCATTTTCTGGCCGCTTTCCCCAGCCCCGTGGGCGCTGGAGAAGGCCATTTTCTGGCCGCTAGCGGGCTTGGTGGGACCAGACCTGGGTTTAGATGGGCTCCCGAGTGTCTGCGTCTCCCAAGCATTCTGCCCTGTTGTGGCTTTCCCAGGAGGTCCACCCCATGCAGCGCAGTCTTGGCCAGGAGCATGGGGGAGGCCTCAGTTCAGCCTAGCAGAGACCCCACAGTGGCTATCTCAGGCCTCAGTCAGCCTTACTTGCCCCTCACATTCAGTCAGGCTGCAGGCTCGTGCTGCTTCATGAGGTGGAGCTGCCATAGCGAGGGGGCATTTTCTCCAGAGCACATAGTGTGGGCACAGGCAGAGGCGCCCTGTGAAGAGGGGTCACTTGCCCAGGGCACCCCATGTGGCCACAAGTTGAGGTGCCCTGTGGAAAGGGGACACTCACCCCGTGTGGGCACAGTAGCTGGTCACACTTCTCCCAGACGGCAAACCTCTGGACTGGCTTCTGTCTGTCAAGCTTGTGCCGGCCCTGAGGGCAGGGCCAGGGCCACCAGAGCCTCCTCTGTGATGCAGGAAAAGGCCAGCGGCTCCTGCCAGGGGAGGGGCTCAGGCTTCTGGGTGCCGAGGGCAGTCGCGGGACATGTAGGGAGCAGGCAGTGGTTGGGGTCCTTGGCCATGGACCAAAGACAGGAGGCCCTGGCGTGTTTGGGGAACTAAGAATGTCTGACTGATTTTTTTAGTTGGTGAAGATTGTCCTGGGAAGAAATTAGAAAATAAGGTGTTGCGTCTGGGCTGATGTATTTTCACTTAAAGTGGCCCCTGAGGACTAGTGCAGGGTTAGAAGAGGGACGTCCAGATCTGACTTAGATAAGCTGTGGCAGGTTCTTAGAGAAGGGGAGAGGGAGGAAGGCCAGTTCCTAATGCAGGAGGTGCTGAGGCGGAGGGCCAGGGGCAGGTCAGAGTCAGGGACTGGTGACACTGTGGCGCGGCGGGGAGAAGGGCAGCCGAGAGCGGGGTGTGAGGTCTGTTAGGTGTGTGTTTGGGGTCTGTCTTCCTTATTTTATGGGGACCGTGATCCAAGTACTCAAGACCTCCTGGTAGCAGCCCCGGGCCCCCGCCTCAGATGTTGGCCCATCTTGCAGCTTGGACTTTACAAACCAGTAAACGCTTCCCCCTTTTTTTTTTTTTTTTGCTGACGTCGCATCTCCTCCTTCTTAACTTCTGTTCTGAGTTTATGAAGCAGTTTTTATACTTCAAGGAACTGATAAGAGCCTGGTACATATTGGATACTCAGTAAACACATACGCTGATGTTTGACGCACTTGCTCACCACTGTGGACCTGCAAGGTCAAGGCAGCGGGCGCGAAATGTGACTTCTGTGACCCCGAAGCGGCTCGCACACTGGTGCTGAAATGGTGTCGGGCAGGGGCGTGGTAGCAGAGGATTCCGGTAACTCCTCGGGGGGATGTGCCCGTGTGCCCTGCTCGCTGCCTCGGTGGTCCTACTGGCCTTTGGGGCAGAGCAGCCCCAGGAGAGTGAGGTCATGGGACAGCTGGCAGGGGGAAAGGGTCCTTCTCCCCAGGCTTGCTCCCCACCCCCACCCTGCAGGATTCTGGTGGGTTGGGGCGGGCGTGGACGTGGTTTGCCCAGGACTCGGGGCGCCTGGGTTGGACTGGCTTCTCTGGACTAATCCCGCCCGGGTCCTGGAGCCTCAGCAGCCGCTGCATTAATCAGCCTTGCTGGAGGATCACATGGTCCTCTAGCTGCCTCCCCTGTTAGCTGCGCCTGTCAGCAGCTGGCGGAGCTGGAGGCTGCAGGCCCCCGTCTGCAGAAAGCCTTTTACTTCAGAATATTGGGGGGGGTGCAAACCCCGCCTCTTTTTTCTGCACTTTGCACCAGCTGACTGACTAAATGGTTGGCCTCGGAACCAAAAAGACTACCAGACCATCTAAGGAAATCGCCTCTGACTAGGTCATGTTTGCATTTGAAGAATTCAGGTACGCGCTGGGTTTCCTCCTGCAGCCTCCGCTGCCGCGGGCTTTTTGTGCTCGCGGGTTTTGCTGTGTAATGCCAGCTTGGGCACCGCGGATCCTCACGAGAAGGGGTCCTTGCTGCCTCGGGGGTGGGGGGGTGAGCCGTGGTGGGAGGCGCAGAGGCGGTGCAGGCGAGAGTGCGGGCCAGGCTCCAGGAGGCGTGGGTAACTGGTGTGATGGCTGCGTTTGCCGGGACCCCACCTCGCGCCGGCGGCAAGCTGCTGCTGCCAGCGTGGAGTTCGGGGCGCAGAGCAGTGCACCCAGGAGTCTCCTGCTCTTTTGTTTTTCTCCCTTTGTCAAACTGCTGCTCCTTTAAAAAATGCTAATTGTAGCAGCGAAGGTGAAAATGCTTGCAAGTCTGTCTGCTCGGTGAGCTCTGCAGGGCCGTTTCCTCATTGTGACAGGTCATCACGGGCCGGGCCTCTCTGGGAAGTGCCCGCTGGGGTTTTGTTAAGAGGGTCCTTCTTTGCCTCGGTGGGCTTTGCAGCTGCCGTGATCGTTCATGCTCCAAATGAGAGTCTTTTGTGAACCCCTTTCTCCAATCTCTGCTCCAGGACTCTCTCGGGGTGTGGATGTGGGAAGGGCTGTTCCACAGAGACAGTTTCTAAGAAATGAGGATAAAGGAGGTAGGACGGGAGGTGAGAGCCTCCCCTACGTGCGGGCCCCCCTCGCTGGAACACAAGGAGGGGCCCTGTGTCCCTGACCCCTGACGGCCTCGCGTTTCTCGAGTGGAGCCTGTGTGTAAGCCGAGTGTAAATGCCATCTTGCTGGTGCCGCGGCATGTGGGCCCTCGGTCCTGGCTCTGCAGGCCTTTTTTGTTCCCTCGAAATGTTGCTGCACTAGACGCTGACGTGATAATGCAAGAGCCACCTTTCGTTACTTGTAAGGAGAAACGGGAGGCCTTTCAGTCACAACCAAGGGAGCACACAAGGGGGCCCTCAGATCTCCACAAAGAAAAGCAGGGCTACCAAGGTGCCCCCCTTTCGGTGAACTTGGGGTTCTGATCTGGGAAACTGGCCTTTGTTTGAGAGTGTCTCTACGTTATTTCTAATGGACCGAGCTTGAAGAGGGCATTCCTTCCCTGGCCCATGCGCTCTGGTGGGCTGGGGCCTGCGCCCAACTAAGTGCCCAGCGCGTCCTATCTAACCATTGCTCCGTCGACAGCTCCCGGGACCACTTCATGCCTAACACCATGGGTCCCAAGGGTAGGACGCAGGAGTCCCGGGTTCCAGTCCCGCGTTCAGAAATGTGGGTAGCGGTGCATGTGTGTGCATGTGTGTGAGTGTTCTCGATGGAGCGAGCCTTGGCCCCTGCCTTGACCAGCCCCGGGGTCCCTTTCAGTCGGGGAGGAGCCGTCCCGCTTCCTGGCTCCTGATCAAGGGCCTCAGTGGTGTGGTGAGATGGAGGGCCTCGGGATGCAGACCACTGCTGGCTGAGAAAGTGGGGCACCGCTGGGGAACGTAGATCAGAAATGGGGGTCTGCACCCCACTAGGAGCCTCCACCTGACCTGCCCTGGAGAGCAGGCGGTGAGGTTGCGTTCTGTGACCTGGGGTCTTTGCGTGGGGCTGAGATGGCAGAGGCCCACACGGGCACAGGAAAGGGGCTCAGCTTCCTAGCTCGGGTCAAGGCTATTCTCTAGCACCTCGGGCAGAATCCCTGGGAGAGCTTGTGAGAAGTCAGATCAAGGCCCCAACCACAGGGTGTCGGGCCCAGAGGGTCAGCAAGTCCGGCATCAGAGCCACTGCAGGCTCCCAGGCTCCGATGCCACAGGTCTGGGAACGCACCCCAGAATCGCTGAGGTGGGAGAAGCAGACCTGTTGTCTTTGAGGTGGGGTGTGCGAGGCAAAGGCAGGTAGAGGTGCAGGCCGGAAAGAAATGGGGAGCAGGAGGCAGCGGCTGAGGGGCCCGGTGCCTGGAGTCCCCCCAGCAGTGGCCACAGCCCTGAGGCAGCGGGAAGGCGGGCTGGGCCCAGGGTCCAGCAGGCAGAGGACGGGTTCCCAGTCTGGCTCCTGCATTTCTGGTGGAAGCAGCTAGTCCCTTGATGTTTGAGTTTTGGTTTTCACAATTGAACAATGGGGAGAGTGGCCTTTGGCGAGAAACTCTATGATGCTGTTGGAACTAGCTTCCTCGATAAATGCAGCGTTCTTCCTCCGTGAGGGCAGGAGGACGCGGTCAGCACACCCAGCCCCGGCGTGCATCTCACGGAGGACGTCTGGCATGGACACCAGCACTTTCACCTGCGCTTCTCTCCATGGCACTGTGAACCCTCGTGTCTGGTTCCAAAGCAGCTTGGTGCAGTGAGACCCCCATGGGCCCCAGACGCGGGCCGTCCGCACAGGGTTGAGCAATGCAGCAGAGGTGGGCGCTCCCTGGTTCCCTGGGGCAGGCCTGGCCTCGGGCCACAGGGCCTTTGAGTGTGCTGGAGAGCAGGCAGCTGACGTCCTGAGAAGAAGGCACAGTGTCCTCCGCACACCCTAGGGGCTGGAGGGTCAGGGAACTACAGTTCCTGAAGGAGCTCTGTGGATGGCCTCATTCTGGACGTGCAGAGACAACACTGGCTTGCTGGAGCCGGGGAGAAGGCCCCAAGAGTTGCAGTCCTGAGAGCTGGCCCAGCAGGTCCCACTGTTCGAGACCCTTGGCCAGTCATCAGTACAAGGCAGTGGCCCCCCATACCAGCACGCTATGGTGCCAGCTGTCCTGGCCCACACCCTCAAATCTATGTAGATGAAACATGTGTGACCTGGTCCTTCATCTCCCAAGATGCCCCTGAGCACCCTGGCAACAGCCTGTGGACGGCAAGGACTACCTTCTGCCCCAGACCCCAGAGCAGTGACTCTTCCCTCTTGCCTTCCCTGGGATTCTGTTGGCAGGAAGCTTGGTCCATGAGTGAGACTGGAACCCAAACCAGAAGCCACGGTTCCTCGGAATTCCTGGTACCTGACTTATTCTGGTTTATTTCTAGAAGGAATGAGATTTACCAACTCCAAGGTCAAAATTCCACAGTTGGAGCGTGTCTATTGTATGAAAATGGCAAGTGACGACTTTGAGTCTGTTTTGTTTTAAAATAAAATAGTATCGTGCATGGGTTGAGGTTCAAATTCCTAACAAGCTCTCCTCCTTTATCAGTTCATGTTTATGTTCCGTCTTGGACGGACCATCACTCTCTGCCCCTCCCCCGCAGTGCTGGCTACTGTAATAGGCAGGAGTGCCAGGAAGACCTGAGGGCAGCCAGGAGAGCCTGGCCAGGCGTTGGAGCCAGCGTGGTGCCGGCCATGCCGGGCCCTTGGCCCCGTGCAGAAGCAGGTGTCTGGCCACGTGGCTCCCTCCCCGCCATCCACCCGGGCAGGGGCAGAGCTGGAACCCAGACACTGCTGCTGGCTCTGCCAGGGTGACCTTCACCCCACGATGTTTCATGCATAGAAACAGGCTTGGAGACAGGGACACCCCCACCCATGCACCTCCACCCAAAACCTTTCCCTGAGCTCTTTCCCACCGTCTGTCTGCTTGTTGACCCACTGCATGTGGCCACGCCGCTCACTATCCTCTCCTAAACCTTCCGCAGCCTCTGCCACCCCACATGGGACAGCTCCTTCCTGGCGGTGCTCGGCACCCTGGACTCCCTCCCACCCTTCTACTCCCGTCAGGCATCTGGGTGCTGGCAGTGCTCCTCCCATGGACCCGCCCAGCCCAAATGCCCTCCTGCCTCCAGCACTGCGAGCTGGACCAGCGCCACACCCTTCCCCAAGTGCTGTGTGGCCTGGCGGCCAGCTGGCCTCCACCCAGGCCCCTGTTCTTGGTTCTGTTGCTGTCCAGTCAGTCACACCAGCACCCCCCGGACCCTGCAGTGCCCCTCACTGACAGTGGGACCAGCCCTCCCATGGCTCAAGCTACCTACCGCCACCCAGGTTCACCCCAGCAGCACCCCGACGTCCATCGCCTCCTGGCCACTGCTGTCCTTGGGGGTGCCCTGGGTGCCCTGATACTGACCTGATCTCTTCTTATACACACCCCTCCCTGCGTGGACACTACCTGCTCCCTCCCCCCCCCCCCCCGGATTTCTTCCAGGTCACCCACCACCGTGTCCACACTGGACATTTCACCACCGCCTGTGTGGCTCGCCTCCCTGCAGAACAGTCTGTGTTCAGTGCCCTGTCCCATGCACCCTACACATAATAGGAGTCTAAGAAATACTTGTTAAATGAATGAAGTGTGAACAGAGGCCCAAAGAGGCTGGGTAACTGGACTGAAGCCACCCAGCAGGGAAGGGTTCTGTCCAACTCCCCCGACCCTCCACTCCTGGAAGTCGTCCTGTGAGGTGGCCTTGCTCGTCCAACAGTCGCCCTGAGTCTCCCATAGGCCAGGCCTGCTGCAGGTCTGGAGCGTGGCATGCCTCCATGTTTGTGGGAAAAGGAACAGAAGTGCACTGAGGACCCCACCCAGGCAGTATGGACTGACCCTACCCTGCTCCCTGCAGCCCCCACATCCACTCCTGCACAGCAGGGCCCACAAGAAGCCTAGCCCAGTTGGCTTCTTCCCCGCTCAGCCTCCTGCGCTGGAGGAGACCAGGGAGGCACCTTAGCTACCTTCCATCCCCAGCAGCCTGGCACAGTGCCGCTCTCGGAGGGAGCAGTCAGTGTCTGTTATTAAATGTCTGCAATGTCGCAGGGATTAAAATCACTGTACTAAGCAAGCCACAGACCCTGACTGTGAGGAGCATATGATCACTCTGCCCTTGAACCCCAGGGCCTGTGAGGACGCGCCGCCACATGGGTCTCTGGTAGGTGGTGGTAGGAGCACCTGGCTGAAGGAAGTGGCAGAGGCTGGAGAGCGAGGGAGAGAAAGATGGAGCAGGAGCGGGCAGGGCTCGTGGACTTGACGGCTCTGCCTGGTATCTGTCTGACTAGGCACAAGCAAGATGTTATTTTGGGAAACAAATAATTTAGCTGATAGGATGGCGAAGCGG